CGTCTACCTAAGAAGTGTGCTTGTCTATAATATTTTGATGATAGAATTAGAGATACAACATTCTAAATCCTATTATCATCACAAACCTAGAATTCAACCCAGCTTTATATCTTTCCACAGAAAAAACTCTTTGAAATATTTATATTTATTTTTGTGATCATATTTTTATGGAAAAAATATGTTTTGAAAAATGGAAAAAAATATGATTGAAAAAATACATATATATTCAATAAGGATTATTTGTATGAAAGCTATATATAACCTTGAGTTATTCGCTTTCTCACATTTAGTAACTTCATAGATAGTAGACATTATAAGATAATCTGGTCGTCAAAGTTAATTATCCCACCCTTTACTTATTGAAGTATCCGAATCCATCCTTTTCCACCCTGACCCACTTACTGTTAGAAACTGAGATTTGATTACCATCGATTGGAGGAACTCAGGTGGAACTATATACATATACATATGTATATGTAAAAAAATCATTATGTCAAAATGCTTTGCAATTTATTTTGACTTGGATTAAAAAATGGGCTGAAAAAAATTGGGTAACTCGTATAAAACGTTATTTTAAAACTCATAATGATGATGATATCAATAGGTATAGAAGTTTCTTGCTTATATAAAAACAGCAAAATACTTCTTATTTGGTAATATAGAAAATTTTAGGCATTCTTCATTATAATGCATTATAATGGAAGTATACTTTACATGAAAAAGAACTTTGTTGTTATAAAATGTATTAAGTGTACTTTTTCTTTCGTTTACCCCTTGCTGCTCCGGTAAAATTAATAATAAATAGTCTGGCAGGGACTGGTAGGGTTACGAAATGAAATTAAAAAATTTAATGTTTTTATTCAATTTTGATTTAAAACTGATGTCTACGTAAATGAAAGAAAAGAGCTCTTAGTGATTTTATATTCTCATTTATTTCGTTCACAATCTTCTACAGAGTTTATATACATATGTATAAACTACGGATTGTCCGAAATTTCAAATAAATTCGAAGCCTCGACTTTGTTTTACAAATGAAATAATAAATACGTATTTACATGAAATTCAGTGGTGGCCTAGTGGTTAAAGGGTCCGCCTCTCGTTGCCGAGGGCGCGGGTTCAAACCTGGCAAGAACCAATGTGATTTTTCGGAGTCATATGTACTTTCTGAGAGCATTTAGACACCACTGATATACGGTGAAGGAAAACATCGTGAGGAAACCTGGACTTATAGTTTCACAATTATAAGTTTGAAATCACCAACCCGTCTTGAGCAAGCGTGGTGATTAATGCTCAAACCTTCTCCACGCGAGAAAGAGGCCTTGCTCAGCAGTGGGCTTTGATAGGCTGATGACGACGACGTATTTACATGAAATTGTATAAATAGAAGCAACAATATATTACAGAATTAATGGAGCTCGAAATAACAATTAAAATACTTGTTATTGTTTGAATACAACAAACAACTTGATATTCAAAGTTTTAACAAAGTCCTAAGTTAACAATACCGTGTTATTTGTTACAGGATTAAGTGCCGTGAAGATAGTGAAAGTATCCGTACCGGAGGTAATACAGTACGGGGTGCAGGACTCTGTGATTCTGGACTGTGATTACACTTATGGCAACAATACATCGGGATTGGTGTTAAAATGGTTCTTCAAGAACAAAGCGCGACCCGTATATCAGTGGATTGCGACGCAGAAACCACAGGATATAGGTATATTACGGGGTCGAGTCGACTTGACTTATCGAGCATCGAACGATCCATTAAAAATGCATAGAGCATTGCGTATAGTGAAACTGAATACGGACATTTCGGGTAACTATACGTGTGTCGTATCTACATTTATGGAAGAAGATTCGAGAACAAAGCAAATGATTGTTTTTGGTGAGTGATTTTTATAGAATTTTAATATTTTATGTTATAGATAAAGGATGGCGGATAGCGTTGTAACCCTTTTTTATTAATCAGGAACCTATATTTCCTAAATAACTTGTGTTTTTGTAACCAACAACCAAAAAGTACTCACAACAATGAAAGTTTTTTCATTTTTAGTCGGGCTCATTCTCTAACGTTAAAGTTAAAGAAAATGTTATTTTGAATATTCCTAAAGAAGGCATTTACCAGTTATCCTTATATGATACTAGTAAACCTGGCGAACTCCGTTTCGCCACCAGAAGGCTTTTATATAACATTTCGTTTGGTGATTAAAAGATGAAGAATTTTTTGTTTTATATTTGAAAAGGAAAATTTTTATTTCATTTCACAACAGTAATGAATTCATTTCGATTACAAAAGTGAAGTGTTATTTAGTTGAACTTCTCTAAGTCAATGAAAGTGAATCCAAAGTAGATACCGAATCGAAGCCTTATACGTGTCCGCCAATTATCCGTTTCATTGAAGTGCTCCTTTGTAAACAACATTTTTTGTTTTTTGGTATAACTTTAACACAAATAAAGCGTATGGTGTCCAAACTCGTGAACACGCAAAATATAACTGCCCATGTGAAAAACACTGATTTTCTAAATTTATCCCGCAAATACTAAATCGTTTTAAGAGTTCAAACTACAAACACATTACCTAAATATTTTTATTTTTATATAGTAGATTTCTTACAAATATCTAATTGTCATCCATACGTCATTACATATCTGTCATTATACGTCAATTGCATAGCTGTCAATTGTGTTATTCCACGTTTTATAGTGACTGACGTTTCATGTCAAGTCCCACGGGAATGCTGTCGAACGGGATAAAAAGTATCCTATTGCAATTTCCTGGTTCTAAACTACCTCCCTGCCAATTTTCAGCTGAATCGGTTCAGCCGTTCTTGGGTTATAAGTGAAGTCACTAACACGACTTTCTTTTATATATATAGATTATAAAATTGCTGATTCTAATTCTTTACTTATTAAATGTTTATAAAATATGAATTGTTTAAATATATTCCCATAGATAAATACTAAGTGGTTTAGGTGCACACATCTGCTTCCATTTAAATAATTCAATTTATTGCAAAAAATAATATCGTTAAGTTAATCAATTGAAACAAAGGATTTTTCAAATTTCTCAAGCTGTAAGATTTAACATTTTATCTTCTAATGCTTGTATGTTTTTTTTGTGCAACAGTATAGTATAAAATATTATTTCCTTTTTCTAACTACAAGGCCACATTTTGGCTCACTTAGGTTTAATTTATGCAAACATCTGTTACCCGCTTCGCATCTCTCTTTATGCGCAAAATAGTCGTAAGGCTTCAAGAAAGAGAAACAGGAGGCTTATTGTTATAAACATCACCTCATGCTTGGATTTACATTTCTCGAAGGGGTATTTCAAGCCTATAAACGCTTTATTACTTGACTAAGGTACTCCACCTTAAACAATAAAATTTTAATAGACTTTATTTTTTTCTGTTACTGAAAAAATATTATTCAGTATTTCAAAAAGTTTGTTCACCTCAAGAAATTCCACCTATCTTACAGTGCCGTATTGTAATAAACTTTTATGGTATTCTTAAAAAATAATAATTAAGAAACTTGTCCGGAATCAAAACAAAATGTTTATAGCTCACTTTGTAGGTAAATATATTTTGTTACTAAGCATTTAGCTTACTTAGCATTTTGTTACTTAGCACTTTCAGACAAGTACATGCATTTGAAGATAAAAGAAAACTAAAACTGGATCTCAAACGCGACCGAATAAAAGCACGTCCACCTGCTAATATAACATACAATTATGTAAATGGTACACTGACGTGTGACACTTGTGGTCGCACGTTTAGTGTTAAGATTACTTTAGTCATGTGAGGTCGCATCGCAGCTCTTAAATATTACCTATGTAATCTATGTATAAAACAAAGCTAAGTCACCATAGCCGAATACGGCTGGGTAGATATATATACTTTCAGACTAACAAGTAAAAATGCATAATAAATGAAATAATTGACGACATACCAACGTTAATAAAATCAATGTTGGTATAAGATTTACTATAAATATAATATTTTTTTATCTTTATAATCATGTGGAAACTTCATGTTCACTGCAGATAACCTTTTCAGTGGTATGAGTATTTATTGATTCTACTTTTTTGTGCCGAAAGTTTCATATTTGCCTATTCTTTGTTAGAACCTGATGTATGCCTGAGGTAAGATCAAGGTATTTTAGGAAATATTTTGTTTATATTTATCGTTTTCCTGAAACCTAATATTTTACAACGCTTCTGTAATGATCGTCCTCTTAAGTCATCTTTGTTTAAATAACAGTTCAATTTAATGTATTAAGGGTGAGAGAAAACCGTGCCATGTTAGAGAGATATTGTATACATCTTTTAATTATATATAAAACTAGAAGACCCGGCAAACTTCGTATCGCCCTATAATCAAGAAATATCTGTAACGTTTTTTTTTATATTTTTGGAGTTTACCTATTAAAGCCATAAATAAGTGTTTTGAAGTGCGACAGAATGATTGACATATTAGTTAGTTATCAAACTAATGTCAAAAAAAAAGTTTGTATCAACAACTACTAATAAATTAAAAATTAATTAAAAAAAACATTGTCCAGCGGACAAAATTGTGAATCTAAACCATTCCCAGATCTCCTTGAACACACACAAAAAAATTTCATCAAGTCTTTTGAGAGAAGTTCAGTGACATACACACTCACAGAAGAATTATATATATAAAGATATGAAAATATGATTATTGCAGCACTAACAGCGGTTGCAAGTAGTTGATCTTGATTACGATTGCTTTTAAAATTTTAAAATTGTTGTTAATTTTGCCAAAATCATAATATTTTTATTATTAGAATCAGTAATTTTGAAAAATTGATTCGTGAAAGTGTTTAGTGAGGATTAAGTGTGAGAAAATACTAACAATATCAGCACAATCAGCTGCTTCATACCCACATATCTAGAAAATAAAACACCACTGACTAAATACATATATTATACGGTAATTCACACTTATTATAATATCGAAAATGGCTAATAAATGTAGTTGTTGCGGAAAGGATGCAAGCCGAAGCCTTGTTCTCCAGCAATATCTACGGACTTGGCTTCCTTGCAAGGGGCAAACAACACCGAACACTCGTCGTTACTTTCAGCTGTGGAAGATCCAGGAGTCGTTAGTTCACTTTTGGAACATATTAAGCTCCTTCGGGTCGAACTGGTCGATTTGACTTTGGAAGTATCGTCATTTCGTCAAGAGCTTGCATCATTGAAACGTTATCCGAGATATGCAAGAGAGTCGACAATGTCGAAGGGTGACTGTCTCAACTTGAGAATAAAATACCGTCCGTGCCTAAGAGTCACTTATTGGAAGACATTGCCAACCTGAAGACGAAACTCAAAGAGCGCGAGCAGTCATGTCTATTGAACGACATTGAGATCTCAGGCATTACTGAACGGAATGGGGAGAATCTGCAGCACATATGTAGTAGGCCTCATTGCGGGTAAGATTGGCGTCACATTAGAAGAGCGCGACATTGTTTTGGTAGAACGCGCAGGACCGCGACCAGCTTATAATGACACCAGCGAACGGTCACGGGAACGCCCTATAGTAGTACGACTAGCGCGCCTCACGATTCGCGATGAACTACTGCGGGCGGCGTGCGTGCACCGTGGGGCTGATATATCTAAAATATAGATAACGAGCCTAAACAGTTTTACATCAATGAGCGCCTCACTAGAACAAATCGTACTCTTTTTACAATGCACGAGAGGAGGGCCGCCGCAATGGATGGCGTTATATATGGACTCGCAAGGGCCGGATCTATGCCCGGCTGAATAAGGAAACTGCTGCTCATAGGCTACGATCACAGCGTGACATCCTGAAGGTTTTTGTAAAAGCACAGGTTTGAGCTGTGAATTTCAGTTTAGGAGTAAGAAGAATATTTTTGACTTACTAATTGTTTATTTTATAAAAATAGCATCTAAAAAAGTGTACTCTCTAATTTCTTTGATACTTTTGTATTATTGTAATGTTAAGTGGATTTTTATTAATGTATATTTTTGCAGCAGTGTAAAACATAGCGGCCAGATAGTATATATGATATTTACATACAAATATGTTTCACAACTAAAATGCCAATCCATAAAACGGCGGCGTTCCGAGGAAGTTCTGAGGAAGTCAGGTTCTGCGCCACCAAGTGCTAGAATGACTTGCCTCCTCGTTTTCGTAACCTGAAATCGATAGGAAATTTTCGATATAAATATAAATTATATTTATTACATAAACAAAAAAAACTTAAACTTAATATGTATTAATTGTTATTACTATTTGACGTTTTTAATTTTTACTCATTTAATCCGTTGCAGTTTTGTTTAGCTGTTTATATTATAATTATATTTATCCTCACATATGTATGTATATTCTATATTATTCTATTCTATTATTCTATTCTATTATTCTATTCTACAGTCTCAGTTGTTACATACGCGAGCACACACGTTGTTAAATTAGTCCGTCTTTTAATCGCATAAATAGTGTTACGTGTACAGTTTTGTTTGAACTGCATTTTAACAAGCATTTCTATATGTGAGTGGATTATTTTACAGTTTTAGAGGTGATCACATTTAGTTAACACGCAGTGCCCTTGCGGTGACCTTAAGTGTGACCATTTAAGATCAAAAGAACTTAATGAGCTACCCGGCTTTATGCTTCGCCTTAATTATTATAAGTAGCCAAGTTTCGAGACTCAACTTAAAGATCGTTTGGTCCAGCGTATAGTGAGCTTGCTTTTTGATTTCCTCACTTACCGCGACGATTCCGAGTTCAAACCCCACTAGAACCGATAAGCGTTTTTAAAAAATTATAATAATTTTCTGAGCCGCCTTATTTGTAAGACAAGTTAAAATGAAGTTTGCCTGCTGCAATTTGACGACAGGTGTCGCTAGTGACTGCTTGGTGTGTACAAAGTGTGGTCATAATTATCACTTTAGATGCTTACACCCAACCGATAAACGTAAAGAAGAAGTATCACAAGAATTAAAAAAACACTGAATTTGTCCTGAATGCACAATAAATCAACCCAGAACTGCGAGAATCGACAGTACACCAGTGCGAGAACAGACCAATGAAAGTAATGTAAATTCGCGTAGAGGTGCTGCTTCTGGTATATACGAGGATTTTGTTTTGGATACTGCTGATAAAAAATCTTTTATTGTATTGATTAGATCCATAATCTCAGAAGAATTAGCCAGTTTAAAAGGTGATTTTAAAACTTCTATGTATCCCATTCAAGAAGATTTAAAAACATTTAAAAAAGAATTTGAAATAATAAAAGTAAGTTTGGATTTTATAAATTCAAAATTTGATGAAATTAATAAACGAATTGAATGCTGCGAAGGAGAAATGAATGTTTTATCTTAAAAATGTATGGAAATCGGTAAGCTGTGCAGTTCTGTGGAAGAAATTGAATTTCATAATAATAACCGAGAACAGTGGGCCCGAAAATCTAATGTTGAGGTTTATGGAATTCCAGAAAGAAAAAATGAGAACCTGATCTCGTTGTTACAAACAGTTTTTGATAAAACACACTTACAATCTATATATATAAAAGAAAGTCGTGTTAGTTACTCCACTTATAACTCAAGAACGGCTGAACCGATTTAGCTGAAAATTGGCAGGGAGGTAGTTTAGAACCAGGAAATTCCAATAGGATACTTTTTATCGAGTTCGACAGCATTCCCGTGGGACTTGACATAACGTAAACGTCAGTCACTATAAAACATGGAATAACGAAACACAATTGACAGCTATGCAATTGACGTATAATGACAGATATGTTTTTTAGTATTTGCGGGATAAATTTAGAAAATCATTGTATTTTTCATGGGCAGTTATAGTTTGTGTGTTCACGAGTTGGGAAACCATCCGCTTTATTTGTGTTAACGTTAGACCAAAAAACAAAAAATGTGGTTTACAAAGGAGCACTTCAATGAAACTGATAATTTGCGGACACGTATAACGCTTCGGTTCGGTATCTACTTTGGATTCACTTTCATTTACTTAGAGAAGTTCAACTAAATAACACTTCATTTTTGTAATCGGAATGAATTCATTACTGTTGTGAAATGAAAAATTTTCCCTTTCAAATATAAAACAAAAAAAAAATTTCTTCATCTTTTAATCACCAAACGAAATGTTACATAAAACAAAGCCTTCTGGAGGCGAAACGGAGTTCGCCAGGTTTACTAGTTTAATATAAATACGGATATTGACTTCATCACCAGAGTCGCTTCTAAAAAAAACGATGTGAAGAATTCTAAACCGATTATTGTGCTTTTTATATGTAGATGGAAAAAAGATGAATTTTGACAAAAGTTATAATGTGTATGATTTTAATAATAATATAGCAAAATGGAATTAATTATAAAAATAAATACATACTATTTAGGTCTCTGTTTATTTGCGGCTCGATTGCAATAGGCAAGTATCACGGCAGCGCCTGGTGATCGCATGACCTTGGCTTCCGCGCCCAACTGCATTGTTTTTCCTTTTTTTTCCATAGGATGTCATCTTTACTGCCTTTTTTCATATTTCGTATAGTTTTTATTAGTTATATCTCTAAAAGAAATTATAATACGTTATTATGTTTGATGTTAATAAGATAAGATATGTTTTGTAAATATAATGTTGGTTTTTGTTAAATGAAAATGTCTTTGTTTTATACTAATTTCATAACAATTTCATATTATAAATAGTTATATCTATGACGTATTTAATAGAAATACGTCTTACCTTATATTTACCTAGTCCAACCGCTTATTAAAAACATAATATTACAATTTATTTTTTAGTCACTGTTGTGTATTTTATTGTGTTCGTTTTGAATACATTTTGATTAAATAAACAAGATGCTTGTTGTGTTAGCCTTTAGACGCTGCGGGCTGCACTGAGCGAGCAATGAACAGATGTAATATATTATTATCTAAATGTTACTGCTCCCTGCTCCCGCGCGTCCCGGCACACCTGCGTAGCAAGCGCGATAGATATCACCTTCCTATATTATATGTTTAATATTTTAATATTATATATTATTTTATCTGTATTGTTATGTTTAAATTTAACAATGTTAATTTAATGTAAGTGTTACCGCTGTCAGTGTAGAAGCAACATTGCTTCTATTTTTCACTGAGTGGTTCTCCTTTTGGTTAAATTACACTGCTGCTCACTTATTATTATTGTTATTGATTTTTAACTTAATATTTGTCCTGTTGTAGTTGTTATGTTATTTTATTTTCCTTTTTTTGTATGTGTAGGAGGGCGTTATAAGAACAGGAGGGCCTTCATGGGAACTCATACTTTGAAAGGGATAAAGTACAGTCTATTCAATACGACACCACTCAATCGAAACACTAGATATCACTATCACTTCGAAACACAGCGATTCGTCACGAGCGCGGTGCGCGGGCGTCATCTCGCACAATACTCCATAATAAAGATGGCCGCCCTCGCTACCATCGACAATGACGCTTCACTAGGCTAACCTCAGACAGCTAAAAGTCAACCTGACGTATGATTTTTGACGGATGCGCCGTCACGGCCGGACTGACATTCGACCGTCCTCGGGCGGTTCTCGGATCAATGAACTACAGTTGTGTCTATTCCGTTCGGCATCCTGACAAACTACTAGTTACAATCATCAGAATGTGCTATGGTACTTAAGACTTAAGGCGAGCATCTCGTAGCAATTAAGCCAGACGACAACATTCATCTCACCACAATGTTCAAAGCATCCAGAACAAGTCAACCAACTTAAAGGGCTCTGACCCGGACGACTACATTCGTCTTGCCACAATGTTCAAAGCATCCAGAACAAGTCAACCAACTTAAAGGGCTCTGACTCGGACGACTACGTTCGTCTTACCAGAACAAGTCAGCCAACTTAAATGGCTCTAACTCGGACGACTACATTCGTCTTACCAGAACAAGTCAGCCAACTTAAATGGCTCCTGACTCGGACGACTACATTCGTCTTACCAGAACAAGTCAGCCAACTTAAATGGCTCCTGACTCGGACGACTACGTTCGTCTTACCAGAACAAGTCAGCCAACTTAAATGGCTCCTGACTCGGACGACTACGTTCGTCTTACCAGAACAAGTCAGCCAACTTAAATGGCTCCTGACTCGGACGACTACATTCGTCTTACCAGAACAAGTCAGCCAACTTAAATGGCTCCTGACTCGGACGACTACATTCGTCTTACCAGAACAAGTCAGCCAACTTAAATGGCTCCTGACTCGGACGACTACATTCGTCTTACCAGAACAAGTCAGCCAACTTAAATGGCTCCTGACTCGGACGACTACATTCGTCTTACCAGAACAAGTC